GGAGCCAGGGGTGGAGCAGCCCCGAGGATCCGGGACTGGGGGTTTGCACTGAGCTCCAGGGTTGCTCTGGGGTAGCTGGATAAAATGTGGGGTTAGGGTCGTTTGGCGGCTTTTTTTGTGGGTTTTTGTTTGTTTTGGTGATTTTGTTTTTTTCCTTATTTGCCTTTCTCACGGGTTATGGCTATGGTAGGTGATAGCAGCAGAAACACCTTTCAGGAGAGACGTGGGCTGAAAATGAATGGTTTGCATTAGATTGTTATGCTGGTAAGTACAGGTTGAAGTAAAGATGCTTTAGAGCATTCACTGGTTATTCAATGCTTAATAATAAAGGTAACAAATAAAAATTTTTTCAAGAGCAATCCTGGAAGAAGCATGAGAGGTATCACAAAATACAGCTCCTGGCTGATGAAGCACCCTGTAACTGTGCAGAAAAGAGAGCATGGTGTGACTGTACAAAAGCCCTTTATTCCACCTATTGGAAGGAGTAGCTCAGACATATCCTTTCACACTGTCAGGTGAAAGAGTAACAGCATTGATCCAACCTCCTCCACCACTTTCTTTTTTTCCTACTAGATTCTCCTGAGGTGGCTCAATTTCTGTCTTCTACTGGTATTATTAACTTGAGAAGTCTCCTTTTCTTCCCTAATTTGTGGCTCATGCTGGTGAAATGAGCAAAATCAGCTGTAGATAAATAACTCCTGTGACTTCTGTTTTCTGTCAGAGTGGGGTTAACAGCCCTCAGTCACTGACAGCATCAACACCTTGATGGTTGTCATAGGTTTACTTGTTCTAAAAAAACAGGCAGGAAATTTATTGCTGTAAGGGGGGGATGTTGAAAGGGGGAGAGTAGTTTTTGCCTTGGGTGATTGACCCCCACAAAAGAACTAAACAGCAGATCCACACTCCAAGCTGATGGCCCTCTGAAGACTGGGGAGGGGTGATGAGGGTTTTTTTTCTCTCTCCTCAGAAATGGGAGGCACTTCACTTTTGCTCTGACTGTAGGGAGGGTGTGTGTTGGAGGGGTCCGAGGTTTACTTTGGTTTTGGCCTGATCATCTGGCTTGTTTTCTGGCCCCGGTGTGCCTCCGTTTTCCTGCGCCCTGTTCTGTCCCAGCTCAGATCTGCTCGGATTTCATTGGAGAGGCTTGACCCACCTGCAGAGGAACCTTTTTTGGGAGGAGGTTGCCCTTTCCCTCCTCCGTTCCCGCGTTGGCAGCGGCGTTTGTCCGTCGAGGAAAAGGGGGAAATCCCGGCCACAGCCAGCCGCAAACAGCGTGAGTTTCGGGGGGAAAGCCCCCTTTTCCCCTTCCCCTTCTCGGTGTGGGGGGGAAGACCTCCATTTTCGGCTTCTCCCGCGGACCGGGCCCCCGCCAGGCCCAACAGCGCCCCCTGCTGGCCAACACCGAGCACTGCAGGCTCTGCTCCTCCAGTGATTCGACAGCGCCCCCTGCTGACCGTTGTTAGAATTGCGTCAAAAGGTGTAAAAGTACCGACCTGTTTCCTTTTGAGGGAGATTTTTGGGTACAGGATTATTGATTTGATCGTTTTTTGTATTCTTTTGTTGTTCTGCCAATACACATATATCCTTTAATAAAGGGCTGTTATTTTTCCTTTCTCCATGCTTCCTCAATTAGAGCCTCTTAATTTCGGATTTACAGTTGCTTAGAGGGAGGAGTTTGGTCTTCCTCATAACATCCTCCTTAGCAAAACCCTTCAGTCTCATTAAACTGAGACGAGGATAGTCCATGACATCACAAAGGGGCCCATAGCACACAGGCTGGACTGCACTCTGACCTCGTGGGGTGTTGGTTCTTTGGTTTCCAGGGCTCATTCTGGAATGGAGAGGATAGGCCATGACATCACAACGGGGTCCATGGCACACGGGTGTGGCTGCTCTCTGCGGGTGTGGGTTGTTGGTTCTTTGTTTTCCAGGGGCCATTACGGAATGGAGAGGATAGTCCGTGACATCACAAAGGGGCTCATACTACAGAGGTAAGGTTGCAATGTGGGGGAGTGGGATGTGTGTTCTTTGTATTCCAGGGGCCTTTAGGAGCTGGAGAGGATAGGCTGTGACATCACAAAGAAGCCCATGGCACGCGGGTGAGGCTGCATTCTGACAATGTGGGGCGCTGGTTTTTGGGTTGATGGGGGCTATTCTGGAATGGAGAGGATAGGCCGTGACATCACAAAGTGGCCCATGGCACACAGGTAAGAGTGCAATGTGGAGGAGTGTTATATGTGTTCTTTGGTTTCCTGGGGCCATTCCAGAATGGAGAGGATAGGCCGTGACATCACACAGGGGCGCAGGGCACACAGGTGGGGCTGCACGGTGATATTGTGAGGTGTTGGTTCTTTGGTTTCCAGGGGCCATTCCCTAATGGATAGGATAGACTATTACATCAGAAAGGGGCCGAAGGCACACAGGTGGGGCTGCCATGTGTTAGTGTGGGGCATTGATTCTTTGGTTTCCTGGGGCCATTGCAGAATGGAGAGGATAAGCTGTGACATCACAAAGGGGTGCCAGTTACATGGGTTGGGCTGCTCTGTGGGGTGTGAAGTGTTGCCTCTTTGGTTGCCAGGGACATTCTGGAATGATGGCAGTAGGCCGTGACATCAAAAAGGGGCCCACGGTACACGGATGGAGCTGCACTGTGACATTGTGGGGTGTTTGTCCTTTGGTTGCAAGGGGCAATTTCGGAATGGAAAGTATAGTTTGTGACATCACAGTGAGGCCCATGGTACATAGGTGGGGCTGTACCGTGGGGGAATGCAGCGTTCCTTCTTTGGTTGCCAGGGTCAATAGTCGAATGAAGATGCTAGGCCGTGACATCACAAAGGTGCCCATGGCACATGGGTGGGGCTGTACTCTGGGGGTTTGTGGTGCTGGTTCTTTGGTTGAAAAGGGCCATTCCGGAATGGGGAGGATAGGTCGTGACATCACAAAGGGGCCCATGGCACATGGGAGAGACTGCACTGTGACATTTCGTGGCTCTGCTCCACTGGGAATACAGATGGCCACTGCAAAAAAATCACAAGGCAAAGGCACATACTGAGGGATAACCTCAGAGTGCAACATTCTGACCAAAGGTCCCCTCGCAGGTTCCTTTGTACTGACCTCTTACTGCAAGGACCTCCTTCCCATTCTGCTGACGCTTGTAGGGTTGCGTACCACCGAGAAAAAAAACAAATGATAAGGGATGTGCTTAGATTCACCAATGATACAGCCTGCCAGAATTAACTTCTGCTTCAGACTGGCAGGAAAATGCTCACCTTGCTCGTCTGCCCTCCTGTACCTGCCGCAATCAGGTCAAGACTCTTAATGCAGGTACAAAAACGAACTTCACTTTATTGATTACAGAGGAGTATATATATCTGAGTATACACTTCAAACAGCATCTGATTGGTTGATTCTGAGTACACAGCTGGTCTTTCTTAGTTTTCTTTCAAGTCCCTCTATCGTACTTAAACATCCTGGTCTGTGACATCCCTCAAGTTTTATGGCCTTGTTTACTTCGCTTCCTGCGCGGACAAGGTCACTTCGCCCTGGGTCAGTCACGACATCTTCTTGAAGAATGGTTTCCACATTACAGCGCCTGTTAATCCCGCAACATCTCCCCCTCTCTTATCAAAAACTGCATCAGCCATACTATGAATTCTACTAGCAAAGCACTGAATAATACAAGGAGCCATACAGAGTACAATTCCAATAATTAATACAATGATACATATCCATTTCAAAACATCCTTGACCCATGCAGATAAACCTAATGATAGTAACCAATCGTCCAAAGGATTTGTGCTCACAGTGATCCTTTTTGTATGTTCTTTCAACCACTTCAATTGCTCCTGGATGGACTCTGAGTGATCTGAGAGATTAAAACAGCAGAGTCCTTGGTCTTCCTCACAACCTTTTCCTTGTACCAATAGCAAGTAATCGATGGCAGCTCGATTTTGGAGCACAGCCTTGCGCATGCTGCTCATATCTTGTGCCAATTGGGAAAGTACATTAGTGGTGACATTAGCTTGTTTAGCAGTCCAACACGCAAGGTGTTGTAATTGGGTCAACGCTTCTTCTGCTGCGATTTGGGGAATTATGGCAGCAAACACTCGAGCTGTGGTTCCCCACAAGCTTACCTCATCAGAACAGTCTGAGGGCAATTGTTCGAGACTTCTACGAGCTCTTTGTGTTTTGCCATGCAGTATGGTTTGCCATTGCTCTTTAGAAGGTGCTAGGAGAGCAAGTTTTCCAAGATAACAAGCTCCCCCATGAGCTTCTTTGGGGATGCCTTGCCACGCTCTATCACCACAGATAAGGTATATTTGATGTGGCAAGGAGGTAGCATAGGAATAATTAAGGTGAATGTGGCCTGAACCCCATCCATAAACGCGATCAGGAGAACAATATTGGGACGTGTTGTAATTTTTGTGAGGTGTTAACCAGGTACGTCTTTTCTTTTCTGTTAAATTGTACGATCCAAAAAAGACACATCCTGAACCATTTGATGGTCGACTATCCAGTAGGTTTAACTCCTGAGGATCCCAAGGCAAAGGTTCTTTAAAACTTTTTAACACCATACCTAAGCAATAACTAGCATTTCGTGCAGTACAATTTATACTTACTACATTCTTAGCAAGCTCAAATGGACTTACAGGAACACCGATTAGGCAAGTCTTAAAAGGATTAGTTGCTGCAGTGAGATGCAAGCAAAAGGCAGAGGTGTTTGTCTGAATTGCCCATTGAATCCACAGATTTTCTTGGGCTTGCGTCTCACCGATGGCAAATAACAGGAGAAGGAGAGAAAGAGTCAGGAAGGTAATGCCTTTTTGATCCACGGTCGAACCCATTTGGCTGGGATCCAGATGGTATCGTTACAGATTGAGAAGTTACCAGGTCAAGCCCTGCACTGCCCCGGGTGGCTGCTTTGGCAGCGTACTCGGGTTGGGGGGTGTTTGGATAGGGTTCACCGCCGCGCCCCCCACGCGGCTCCTGAAGTTTCCCTGGTCTTGCTTTGTTGGTCCAAGTAAGGGTGTCCCATCCTTTTTGAATTTGGATCGGCAATCCTGTAAAAGAACTCATAGAAATAGCTTTAAATCCCCCCTTAAAGCGCTGGGGACACTGTTTACGAAAGTGCCCAAGCTGTCCGCAGCTAAAACATTTTTCCGGATTTTTATCTCCACGACCTTGCAGCTGTGCTTTTGTAAGCACAGCAGCTAGAGCAGAGGCATGAATAGTTGCTTTCTCTTTCTCTAGCTCTAAAGGAGCTCGAGCACACTGTTCAATAATTTGAGTAAGAGAGGCCCCTGCTGGCAGAATAGTGATCATCCTTTTGCAAGCTGTGTTAGCATTCTGAACAGCTATTTCACGCACCATAGTGTCTTTCATGTTATGTGGTATGTCCGGTGCTACTTCAACTCCTTCTTTCACTCTATCCACAAAGGAGAGGAAAGGTTCATCATCCTGTTGCCTAATATGTAGATAAGGCTGCTTTGGTTTACCCATCTGTGGTAATGTCATGAAGGCTTCGAGAGCAGCTGCTTTGCTTTGCGCAAGAACACGAGCGTCCAGGGCGGCTTGCATCTGCGGGTCTACAAATTGCCCTTTTCCCATTAATTGATCTAAAGTAGCAGTACGCAGGGGATCTCCGACTGGCAAATCTAAGTTCGCTACCTGAGCTACTTCCAATCTCTCTTGCCATTTTGTCAAAAACAGTAAAAAACTTGTGGGTCCCAAAATTAACTCAAAAATGCTACGTAAATCAGCAGGTACCAATTCCTGATAGCGAATGATCGTTTCAACTTGTTTTTTGACTAATCGGTTATCTATACCATAGTCAATTACTGCTTTTTGGACTCGTGTGATTAGATTCCAATCCAGAGGTGCCCATTGCCGTTGGTTCCCCTGTACAAGCACAGGGGCTGCGGTAAAGCTAAAATCACCTGTGAGTTCTGCATTTGTAATGATTCCCCTCCATCTCTTGTGATGATCAAAATTCGGATCACGGGGAGGTACTGAACTATCAGGCAAGGGAACCTTGGGGGTAGCACCCGAGTCCACAAGGGATCGCCCTGGTAGTGTTCGTTTTGGCAGCGGCGATTTGTTCCACCAATCTTGTAATTTTTGCGGCAAACTTTGATTCTGACTCGCTGAAGGAGCTGCATCATCATACACATCTGGAGGATAGTGTTTCTGATAAGCAACTATCTCTCCTTTTTCTACCGCACTTAACGGGGGTGCTCCCTTTGAAGTAAGAAAATCATCAGCGGTCTCTTCATCCCAGTGTCTTTGTTTAACCATATTAATGACCCAGCAACGTCGTTCAGGAGAAATGCTTTCCACAACAAATTCCTTATTTAATTGCTGTTCAATATTTTTTAGTCCCTCAACGATTGCTTTATGGGCTGCTTTATATTGACTCTTTATTGCAGGCTTAGTTGCAGCTTCCTTATCCAAAGCTTTCATTTCTTTTAACAATTTTGTCATGACATTTGTTTGGGCTTGCAAAAGCGTTGATAGATTAGGATTAGTATCAACTTCCATAGGTTCAGACAGCAGTGGAACATGGGCTGGGTCAGCCGGGGGTGCGGAAGGAACGGGTTCGGGCGGGGGATTCCACGGGGGAATAAGATCGTCATATGGTCCCCGTTCAGCTGCTGCAGCAGTATAAGCTGGCACCCCGAGGTCGATGAGAGACTCTTCCGAGTCCTCCTCGGCATGTTCAGGGTTAATATCTGGGCCGGCATCGTGTGGGGTGGGCTCTTCCACCTCCGGTGCAGATGGCACTGGGGCGGCGGCTGCTGTAAACACAGCAGCACGTACAGCAGCTTCTACACTCGCTTCAGCGCCTAACCGTTCAATAAGCAATCGGACCTGCCGATATGTCGGCGCAAGAGCCTTGGCTTCTTTATTATTTGTTTGTACCGCTTCCCATAATTCTGCCCCAACTTTACGCCAGGTATCGTCCTTAAAAACGTCCGTGGAATCATGCAAAAATCCGCGACGTTTCGCCCAGAATAATAAGTCCACTACTTGAGTACGCGACAAAGTTTCATCTGCCTTTTTCCCCAAGTTCATTACTGCATCAACAGTAGCACGCTCTACTGCAGAAATAGACGACCCCATCCCGAGCAATTCAAATCAGCCTCGATGGGCTCCGACTCACCGGTCGACTGTGGCCACAAAACACGTCTCTCTCGGATGTCCGGTCGCAACCGCACCTCGGGAATTTGCAGGTATCAAGTCGCACAGAGCAGGATCACGTCGGGGTCACCAAGATGCCGCAATCAGGTCAAGACTCTTAATGCAGGTACAAAAACGAACTTCACTTTATTGATTACAGAGGAGTATATATATCTGAGTATACACTTCAAACAGCATCTGATTGGTTGGTTCTGAGTACACAGCTGGTCTTTTTTAGTTTTCTTTCAAGTCCCTTTATCGTACTTAAACATCCTGGTCTGTGACATCCCTCAAGTTTTACGGCCTTGTTTACTTCGCTTCCTGCGTGGACAAGGTCACTTCGCCCTGGGTCAGTCACGACATCTTCTTGAAGAATGGTTTCCACATTACAGCGCCTGTTAATCCCGCAACATGTACCAATAGCCCGCCCCACCGCTTGCATCCCACCTCGAAAGAGAGAACAAAAAGACGCTCACAAGAATGACCTTTGAAGACCAGTGCCTGTCAGAATAATCTTATGTGGGTGTTATTCTCCGCTCTGACCTGCAAACCCTAGTGCTGGGGTCAAAACTAAGACTCTCTGCTTCCCTCTCCTAAGGGATTTGTTTTTAGACATCTCTTTCCCTTATGCTCATTTCAAAAGCCCTCCCGGCAATTCCCAAGCCTGTACCTGGCTCTCATCCCCTCTCTGGCTCAGAGCCCTCGACTTATCTTTCAGAGAGCTGGGCCTGTCAATTCACCTTCCAAAAGCATGGCCCTTCGGCTGGCTCAGAGATTCCTGCAGTCGCACCAGGCCCTGCCCAAGACCCTCCTATCAGGGTCTGGGCCCTGGAGGCAGGGGGAGAACCCCCCTGCGGCTTGGCCATTCTTCCCCAGCCCTTGTCTGGCCCAGCATCCTCCCCCCTTGCACACTCCCCACTGCCACAGGCTGCACTGGGGCAGCAATTCCTTCTTGGGCCCTTTCGAGCTGCCCCCATGGGGACACTTCCATCTTCTGGACCAAGCACCAGAGCCAATCCCAGCCAGTCCCATCGTCCCCGGTCCAACTCCCTGACTCCTGGTGGCCCCTGGAAGCCAAGAGCCAAAGGCCGACCCCCCCAGAGTGCAGCCCCACCCATCTGCACTGGGGCCCCAGGGCTTCCCTTTACCAAACAGCCCCTGCGAACCCTTGTCAGAGAGAAAATTGGGTGACTCCTGGATGCTTTTAGTAAAGAGGTCTAAACATTTCTTGAATAATGGAGGGGGGTGACTTTTTTGTTCTTGACATTTCCAGTTCTCCATTTGGGGGCAGGATGTCCTCTGAGCTAATGTTTTGTTTCCTTTGCAGTGAGTGCAGCCTCAGAGGGCTGAGCCCTCTCTGGCTGGGCTTGGCCTCTCCTGGAGAGACTCAGGCCTGGCTGGGCTACCCCAGGCAGACCTTGCAGGCAGAAGAGCTCAGGACACCTGTGTCTGGTGTCCCTGGGGCTCAGCCTGTGCCCGATTGGTGTGCAGGGGCTGAGCCCCACCTCTGCCTCGGGACCTTGGGCAAAGGGCTGGCAAGGAAGAGGCCCAGGAGCCTTGGGGCCTTCCCAGCTTTCCTCCTCCCTGGAGGCTCTCAGTCCTCCCCTGACACCGTGTGGGCCCAAGGCCTTGCTGGCTTCGGGCTCATGGCCCGCTGGCACCATCCCACTGGCCTGACCCCCCTCCTTCCCCTCTCTTCAGCCTCTCCTGCCTTTTATGGCAAGGTACCATCCAAGGAAAACCCCGGTTCTCAGCAATGGCACCTGTGGCACGGATGAAAGGTTCGAGTCTGCCAGGCAAGAGCAGGAGCCCAGAGAGCCTGAGGAGCCAGGAGATGCCCTGGCTGGGCATCGTGCTGCTGTGGGATGAGCTGACACCTCTGCACAGTCTCTGGCTGTCCCTGCCAGCTGACTTCTGCCCAGGCTCTGGGCACGGGGATGCAGCACTGACAGTTTTCAGCCACCGCGCTGTTCCACAAAGGCTGTGATGTCACAAGGCCCTTGCCTGGCAGCCAGAAGATGAGCAAGGCAAGGCAAGGACAGAGCCTCTGAGCCACCGGAACGCTGTCCCCAAAGGCTGGGATGGCACAGAAGCCCAGAATCCACAAAGTTGGCAGAGACTTGTGAGATAACCGGCGTCCAGCCTACGCCCCATCCCTGGCACGTCAAGCAGACCACGGCACTCAGTGCCATGTCTAGTCTTTCTTTAAACACCTCCAGGGACGGTGACTCCACCACCTCTCTGGGCAGCCCATTTTAATACCTAATCCCTGTTTCTGTCCAAAAAGTCTTGCTCCTGTCCATGACAAACATCCCCTGACAGGCAGGTCCTCGTGTCCTCTTGTCCTATGGCTTGTTGCCTCAGAGAAGGGGTTGACCCCCACCTGGCTCCAGCCTCCTGTCAGGAAGTTGTGGACAGGGAAAGGGCCAGCCCCGAGCCTCCTATTCTCCAGGTTGGAGAACCCCAGCTCCCTCAGCTGCTCCTCACAGGACATGCACTCCAGACCCTTGCTCAGCTCCATTGCCCTGCTCTCCACAACCACTCCAGCCCCTCAATGTTCTTCCTGAACTGAGGGGCCCAGAGCTGGACACAGCACTCCAGGTGTGGCCTCACTAGTTGTAGCGTGGCAGTACTTTACATGGTAAAGAAGGAAGCACGCTCCTTGTGAGGTGGTGAACAAAGAGAATTTATTTCAAATTCGGCGCTGGTTTTATCCCTTAATCCCATGTGACTTCTTTGACCAATAAAGTTGTCTATGTTGGCGCATGCTCCCTCGGGCACTCTTGCCTTGGTACATCTCCTGTACCTTAAACATGCTCCCTACATCACCCCCCTCTTAATTCTAAAGAAGTCACAAAAACAGTGCAAAAACAACAGTGCAAACAATCAGAACAGTACATTGTAAACCACTAAAGCTTGCAATGACCCAGCACATCGCTTGCTTGGCCTCTTATACCTCTATGGTAAACTTTATAAAACCTTATATTCCTAAAGGGTAGTGCAACTTGGAGAAATAACTTTATTAACCTAAAGGTCTTAGCCCAACCATGTATAAACTTATAACCTTTATTAATCTGAGGGTTTTTAAATAACTGGGGAGTTCAACTTTACTTAAGAAATAGGATAAGCTTAGCAAAACTAAATTTTCTTAAAGTGACCTTGTGGTGGGGGTAATGTTATTTTGTGAGGTGTTTTGTGTTTTAATATTTGTCCAGTCAAACAACTCTCTTTATTCATTCACTCTTCTCAGTCATCGGCGGCCGCCACTTATTCATCTCACACACATTCACAGATTTTTTACAGACTGCTTTTTACCACATTGGTCATCCCTTAATGTAAACCTGAAACCTGAAACATAAACATAACTCTTTTACAACTTCTGCGTTACTCTGGTTCTTGCTGCTGGATTGTGTACCTAAATAGGGTTTTACACACCTGGAAGGAATCCATTTAAGTTCCTTTTTTGTAGCCACACAGGCATAGCCTCCCCCCCAAGTTACAAAATCTAGGAATCTCGTCCACTGTCCCGAAATCAAGTTTCTTACCATGACCAGTGGTTCGGGAGAGGCACAAGCCTGAGGTCTATGTTGCCTTTCATACTTACTCTTTTCAGTGCTGTCACAATTTAAAAAATTGATAACATATGTGGCTTTTTACAGATGTTTTTGCGGGCTACACAGATTCTCCCCCTTTTTTGTTGTTCATTGAACATGTGTTTCAGTGTGTGATGTGCTCTTGCAATAATTGCCTGTCTTATGGGTTAGTGTGGAATGCTTGTGACGTGAGAATTTTCCTATTTGATAGGAAGTGGAGCTGATTTATTATTAGTATTAATCTGCTTTGGGATACTAAAGGTTGCTAAGCAACTGAGTGTGTTTTACACTTTTGGTGTTTTGTTCAGTGGATGCTGTGGCAGTTATGTTTTGTGGATGTGTATCTCAGTTTCTGTCAGTCATTGGCCCTGGCATGTTAGTATGTGATTTTGTGTGTATTATATAGAAACCAAACTTTCTATGAATCACAAGAAACCAAACAGAACGCATCTCAAACAACAGGTGAGGGTTAACAATATCTCGAAGAAACTAACTCTCAAAATGGTGGATTAACCTTATAGTATAACAGGAATTAGTCACAACATTAAGAAGTTGTTCAGAAAATTTCCCCAAGGCAATATGAATGGCAGCCAGTTTCAGAACCTGTACAAAAGTTTAGTTCATGGTCTGTAGTTCTCATTCCCACTGTTCTGTGGCAGGATTTACTCAAGTCATTGCAGCCCTTTTTGTTTTTCCCAGATGCATCTGTGAAGGCTCTGAGGCCTTTCACTGGTTTGTGTTTGCATCTGGTTGTGGCCTTTAAAGGTAAACGACTAATTTCTGCCCACAATCTGTGTTTAGGGAGATGGATTGAAATATTACTATCAAAGCTTGCCAAGGCAGCTTGGAATCCTGCATCCTCAGCCAGCACCCAATCTAAATTGTCCTTCGTAGCTGGGATGTAGACAATGGTAGGATTCCTTCCGTCCAGTTCCTGCAGTCGTCCTCTGCCTTTAATGACAAGTTTAGCAAACATTTCGTTAATGGTCTACACAGTTTTAGGTGGTGTGTGGGGTAGAAAGAGCCACTCCAGAATTAGCAGCAGGTCTTTCTCAGTTTGATCCCACTGAAACAAGACTGCAAATGTCTGGTACCTGTCGGGAACTAAGGCTAGGCAGATTTGCAGTTCAGGATTTCTCCTTCTGCCCTGCCTATTCTCTATTGCCTTGGCATAAATGTCTAACGCCTGTTTTGCCTCTGCTGTCAGAGACCTGTTAGACGTTAGGCTGGAGTCCCTCCTTAGCAGCACAAATAGAGGGTGTAGTTCCTCTGTGGTTATGCCTAAAATAGGCCTTAACCAATTTATGGCCCCCAGGAGTTTTTGCAACTCATGTAAAGTTGAAGTGTCCTTTACCTCGAGCTGCAGTGGCTGTGTGGAAATTTCTTGCTGTGTGATCCTCCATCCAAGATAAGTCCAGGGTTGTGATGGTTGGATCCTTTCTGAAACAATCTGAAATCCTGCATCTTGGACAGTTTGGGTTAGAGCAGCAATAACATGGCAGTTCATTTCTTGTGGCCGTGGT